TAATAATAATAATAATAATAATAATAATAATAATAATAATAAATTAAACTTTAAAAAGAAAAAAAGGTTTTTAATAAGAAAAAGTCCATTTTTGAAGTATTAAAAGCTAAAGAAAAGTCTTTTGCCCTCACCTGGACTCAGTGGGGGTCTCCTGCTGGGTTTCACATGGGGTTTTAGGGACTCAACCACTGTGAGGCTCCAGTGTCAGCAGCAGTTTGACCCAAGAAGAAGAATCTCGCTTTCCATAACATCACCTAGGGAACTGGGTATGGGTGTGTCCTCCTAGGGATGCAGCCACAACAGAGGACTGTTAGCCACCTGCCTGCACCACACACTGGACTACAAAAAGGACCAGGAGAGAAATCCGTCCGTCTTGGAGACAATCCCTTCTGATTTTGGAACCTTCTACCCTATTCTACTGTACAGAATATCTTCTAGGTGTTGATGATGTCCTTCCAGCCTCCACCCTATTCTGGTGTATTTCACCTGTTTATTCTGCTCTAGGTGTTGATGGTGTCCTTCAAACTCATCCATGGTCTGCCCATGAGTCAATACTTTCAATTAAAAATCCAAATAATTCCCTAAGAAAGTGTCTACAGGGCAAGGTTCTGAGCACAACTCTTCTTCCAGAGGCACCCAAATGGTGGCTAATACCTGCCTATGATTCCAGTACCAGAAGATTCAACAGTCTCCTCTGGCCTCCACCAGCACTGCACACACGTGGTGCAGACATATGCATTTAAACCCATACACATAAAATGACACAAAGTGATCTAAATGTTATTGAGTGGCATGGGATGCAGCAGAGTTTAGTGGCCCTGTGATTTAAGGGGCATTTTCAGCCAAGAAAAGATCTCTGTTCAAAGCCCTCTCCATTACCCAAGGGAAAGAACAATGCAGGAAGAGTCCATTTCGTCCAAGAATAATTTAGGATGTCCACTAACCCCATGAGAGAAAGAAAACCCAGCCTGGTACCCAGGAACACTGTCCTGGGCGTCCAGAAGGGATATCCCTGAGACAAATTACATGCCATACCAAGCTGTCTTGTGGGAGGCTTGGACACACAGCCAAGCGCTGATTCCTTACATATACCCAGCCAGGTGACAGTGAGTCAGTTGGAATGCTGGAGGAATCTGAGTTTAGTCTAGGTCCCTATAGTGAAGGATCATTGGTGTCTCTGCACCCCTCCCCCACATAAGAAAGATCTGTCTGTACCCCCTCATTGCTTGACTCCCTTGAACATGCTCGCTCGTCTCCAAGTCACCTGGAAAACAGCCTGTTAACCCAGTGTGATACTGGGGGGAACTGCATTCTTCCCTATAGAAGGGAAATCAGGCCTGCTGTACAGAGCTAGTTCCAGGACAGGCACCAAAGCTACAGAGAGAACCTCTGTCTCAAAAAAAAATAAATAAATAAATAAAAATTAATAAATAAATAAATAAAAAAGAAGGAGAAAGGAAAATCAGCCCCCAACAGGTGACCTAGATTTCCCTGCTTAGAGGATCTGGGAAGCACAGAGGTTGTTTTGCTCACA